TATTAAATATAAAGTTATAGGAAGGAACTGTTTCAACAGGATGTGGATCTGAGAAGAGGCTGATGTTGAAAAATCATCTTCTGGTATGTCTGTGAACATGCTGCCCTTGCACAGTACGAGCATGTGAACCATTAATGGATGCAGGGGTAGAAATGGTGAATACATTTTGGTGTGCCAAAGCATAAAATCTTCTGCTGATGAACCCTCTGAAATGACCATTTGTTAATGTGCAGGGGGAAGGCATGGGAAAAGGTGACTCTCCTTCCTTCCCCATTTCTGCTTCAGAGAAGAGGAGGACAATTCTTCATGCCTTTTGAGTGACCTCAGGGATCTGCTCCCACCCTCTTTTCCTTGCAGCATAGTCACCTCTAGCAGATAGATGAGTGGATGGACTGTCTAGATCGAGGCTGGTGAGAATTCTAGGAGAGAGGTTGTATGTCTCGTGTTTTGCATGGGCTCAGACATAGTGCCATTTTTGTCCTTAAATATCTTAAAAAGTTTTGTTAAGTTGCTCCTTGGTGATGATTGTGTAATTCATACATAAACACACTGCCAGCCTCTCTGTTATTTTATTAACAGTGTGCTGGAGTGAGTTTTTGTGTTCTTTGGTATTCATACAAGTGGTCTGTGGTTTAATGTGTAAGTTGTGGGACTACTAAATGATGAATTGATTTATAGTGCATGTGTCAGTTCACTTCAATAATCCTTTTACCAAAAGAATACAGTTGGCTACCTTTATAAAATTCAGCAACTTGGCATTCGAAGTTTGAATTATTCTTAACTGATATCTGTACTCATTGCATTCAAAGGAATCCAAGTGTTTTGCTTCATTTTAAAGCATTTTATTAAAGTACCTTCACCAGTATTACCCTCAAGTGTTTCTCCCCTTCTTCAGCCAGCTGGGTTGTTCATATTTTGCATATAGGAAAACATTAGGCATAGAGGCTGACTTGCTCAAAATCTGTTTAACAAGACAAAGCTGGTTTAGCCCAGGATGTCTGGTCTCTCAGCCTGTACTTTAGCCATCAAACTGTGTTCCTGCT